ATTTGGCAGTAACCACAACAACCAACAACCATTAATCAGTCAATAGATTTGCAAAAATCTTACACTAGTTCGTATAATATTGATTTCTTATTCATCATTCTTCTACACTTTTCACTGTTTTTTCAGTTCTGTTTCTCTATTTTGATGTGTCGATTTTTTACTTTATAGAGAAGCTTATGAAACTCTTTCAAAACTCCTTTTATCCGAAAAAATGTTAATGGACGTATAAAAAAAGAAATACTATTGTAAAAGATATAGAACTTTCGCTTTTTATCCTCATAGAAATAAAAAATTTAAAATCTACATACCATTAGATACTATTCGTGTTTTAGTTCGAATATCTATATTATACATACTTTATTTTTCAAAATTTTCAGTCAAATATCATGTTTGAAATAATAACATTTTTATCATTATAAAAAAAAAAAATCAATGTGTTTCTTTTTATGTTTCATGGACTTATAAACAAAATTATTGAAATATTTTTATATGACAAAATAAAATTATTAAAGTTAAAATATTTTAATTCTCAGGCTATTTATTTTGAATTGTATTGATTTGAGTCGTTTGAATAATAAGCTATTAATTGCATATAACATTTACTATACTATATTATAGAGAAAAAGAGAAATAAAAGACAATTCATTTTTTTTATATTAAATACGAAATAGTTTACCTTATATTATTTAGTGTATCTACTACCCCATTGGACATGTTTGGCATTAAAATCTTCTCTTATAATGAAGAAGCTACTAAGACTTTGGACAAAAAATTCCAATTGTTTGGTTTCAGTGATTTGTTGATGAGGAAAAAAATAAGCTGATGAGATTGTAATGTTTAAATGATTTATTTTTATTTTGATATTTGTCTGCTTGTATGTACAATTTGTTGATATTTCCCATTTAATTATAAAAAAAAAGTGAGAACTTCATTATTATTGCAGAACCACCGTGGGATGTGTTATCGAGATAGCCAGCTCTAATAATTTAGTAGCCATTGAAACTTATGTTGCCAGTTTTCAATAGGTGTGTCTCAGTAATAAGAGTGATATAGTGATGTTTGTTTTATTTTACAATAGATAAAGTAAAAAATTTTTATTACTATGCTTTTTATTAATCCATTGAAATTTTAGAGAAAAATGAATAAAAAGGAATGATTGATTGGTTTGAAGTCATTTTTTATTTAAGACTTTGTCATTTTTTTTTTTTTTGTAAGTAGTGATATGGGTATTTTAGGATCTAGGGGGATAGTGTGTATCCTTGTTCCACACGTTGTTGATATAAGGGCATTCTTATGCTTATGAAAAATCAAAAAAAATCATTAACATAAAATATGTATAACAAATAATATGATTCCAAACTTTTATCTAGAAAAAAAATATTTTCATGTTTTTTAATGATGTTTAAAAATATTATTGACGTGTGTATACTATGTACATTATATTATGAAGACAATGGTTTCAATAAAAATATACTTTTTGATTTACTTTTAAACATTTTGTGTTATGTTGACACCCGTCACACCGCATAGCTTCATCATATTTTATGTAAGGGTACTGCATTTTTATTAGTTTCGGGCGTCAAACGTCCTAGATTTGGATAAGGAAAAAGTAATTGGTGATTTTAGTTCATTTTTTTAAATAACGCAAATTGAGCGTTTTGTCGAATAGTAGAATCTAAGTAAAGTTAGTTTTTCGTTGCACATTTGAGTTTTTTTTTTTTTTTTGAATCGCTTAAGAGTAAGACAAATTAGAAGTGGGTTTTTTTTGTTTTCTAAGGTAATGAATTACTATAATGATATGACTGGACAATTTGGTACATCAGTATTATTTTTATGGAATCTGATGTTATTATTGAGACGATATTTATTTGCTTAAGGAAAATGGTGGTTTCGGCGATTTTGAATGTTCTTGTGAGATATGCAACCTTTGTAATTCGCTAGATAATAGTCAAAACAAAGCACACATTTTGCTAAAATGTTTTAGTTTTTTTGTGCAGGTGACAGGTATGTTAATCGCCAAAACAGACGTAACGAGTCATGTTATTATTATAATGGCACGTATGACCATAGTCCTGATAATTCATACATTATGGTATTTGTTATTTTATTTTAAGAGTTTCAACTTTGATGTTTGTGTATCATAGGAATTTCGATTTGGAATAGAAAATATATTTTAATTGTTCGATATTTTTGTATTAGATGACGTTTCGGGAGAGTTTATACGCTTAGTAGATAAATGACTAATTTCAGTTATTTATATTGTTGTCAGAGTCACCATAGCTTGAATCTACTTATTGTTTTTTATTTATAATTCTGATTGTGGGTATTTCAGCATTATTATTATGGCCAGTTACTAATCTATTTAGGTAAAGTTCATCTTTATGTGTGATTGTTATGGTTTTGTTCGATAACAGTTTATTATGAGGATTAGTAGAAGACATTAAATAATGATTTTTTATTCATGATCTATTTGCTTTCCTTATTAAAGGGAAGTCCATGTTGATATGGTGTGTGTGTTTATAATTATGAAAGCATTATTTTTTTTTTTTTGGAATTGACGCGATTTAATTTAAGCTTTGCTGTTTTAAAGTAGATAAATTTAATAGTAATCGGAGAAAAAATTACGTATACAGACATTATACGAGTGCGGGACAGTGTATTAAAACACACTTTTGTCAAACATTAATTTAACTAAGAGCAGTCTAATATTTTATTCAGTACTCGAATACGAAACTGTTTACATATAATTTCAAATATTCGTGCTACTAATTATACATGTACCTATATGAACGTTTATGATAACATAAATGCATAATCACATAATAGAAGTACTTAAAGCTGTAAATACGGTGTTAACAATTAGAAACAAAGCGTTTACAAATTAAATTATAATTGATCTTCGTGTACGGTATTATAATTGTAAGTTAAGGCAACTAACATTTGTTGCTGTATCGGTTGTTTTTTAATTTTGTTAGTAATATCACTACTTCGTGTAAGAATAAGATAAAATATATGAAAAGTGCATACAAATAGTTACAAACGACATTAAAACAGAATTACGTTTTTTTGAGACTAACATATTATAGTATAGTTAAATAGTTACATACTAACGTTCAATGCCGTAAATGCCTACGCACCCGGCCGTGAACTGAAATAAAAAAAATCATTAAGAAAGGGAGGATAATCACTCTTTTGTACGTGTTTAAATATAACATAAACTAGCAATAAATTTTGATGCTTCGCCAGTGGCTCAATATTTGGTTACTACTATTAGACGTATTTTTTTGCATATTTATTATATGGTTATGTTATTAATACACATTGACTTTTATCATCTTAGGAAATAACTGTCTAGTGTCTATAATCTAAAGTACAATATTCTACAATCCCTATATAATATCTCATTTTTATCGTTTAGTATTAGAAATTCATATTATATTTTACTTCATACGCGGTTTCAAGTCAGATATTTTGTTCCACAAAATTTAAAATTCTATATGATATGGTAAATTATTTATTAGTGTTACAACTCCTCTTTCTTAGAAGTTAGAACACATATCATACATCACAAAATGAAAATGATTTTACTATGTCTATACCAGATACATTATAGACTTATAAGTTATTAGTTATAACGTTTCGAAATAGGAATATATAATCTAAATTTTAAGAGGTAAATCAAGAGTCAAGTATAATTTCAACAAAATACAATAGCATAAATTATGTCAAATTTGTCATTACAATAAGGACAGATATGTACTCCTCCCCCCTCCAAAAAAAAAAAAAAAATCATAAGCCACCATAATTTTTCCAATCAGTTAATTTTAAATACAATGTAATTAAATGATAAACTGTAATGAGCACCATCGTTTACGTAGTTTGATGTTTTTTTTAAATTTCATATCATTTCATTTGTTGTTTCCTAGTTTTTCTTAATTCGTTCTAAAAAATCTAAAATAGATAATTATCAAAATAATGTTTGATAGTTTGTTTAATTCATTACAAAAACGTATACCACATATTTTAAAAGAAATAAATTAAATCTTGAAATTGTAGTTTAATAAAACGCAAGTATACTTCATAAATCGAACGACTCGGTTTACTAAACTAAAACATCAATAATTCAAAATAACTGTTCTGTCGTGTATATTCAGAAAAAAATTATTAGACAATTGCACAAGACTAGAGAAGTGTCTATTAAAATATATCTATACTCAAAACAAAGAGTATAAACTACAATATTATATGTCCTCCCAGCGAGATGTTTTCTGGTCACCATTATGAAGGTGAGTGTCCATAAATTATACGTGAGTATATTAAAACTCGATGGCAGGCGAACACCCACATTCGGGGCGTGTTTCTTACGTGATTTTAAAACTGACGTTGCCGGTGTACCGTAAAAATATTTATTTTTTTAAATCCGATCTCTCATCTTCTTTGATCCATCTGCAGATACGCCGTTCACTTCTTATGGCAATGGCTCGTATAACAATACTAAATACTCGTAATTATAACGAAAATTTTTTTTTTTAATATGATAAATTATTACGACTTATTAAGAGGACACTACACAGAAATTTGTTGTATTTGTCTTACAAGTGCGTAACATGGACAATTTTATTTACGTTCAGCAGATTAGGTTTAGCTTTATTAGTTTAAAAATTAGAGTAAATCAACTTTTAGTGAAACTTAATGGTAAAAACATTTTCTGTGTTTGTATGCGGATTTTTACGATAATTCAATTTTTTAAACGAGTTATATGAGCATTTTTAATTTACTATATTTTACATGCGCAAAACTCGTTAAAAAATTGAACTTTCGTAAAACACTGATAATCTTCTTACCATCAAGTCTCATCATAGGTAAATTCACTATAATCTTTAAACTGACGAAGCTAACACCGATCTGATGAACGGAAATCGTCAATGTCACGCACTTGTAAGACAGATACAACAGATAATGTTCAGTTGAAACGTGCTATTAATGTGCGCGTGTTGCAGGGCGTTTGCATGGCATCGGCCGGCGAGGTGGCGGCGGCCGCCGCGGCTGCCGCCGAAGCGGCCACCAAGTCGATGGAGTACGAGTACGACGACGACGAGTTCGACATGGAGGCCGAAATGCTGCGTCGTGAGTTCCGAGAGGCGTCGCTGTTGGCCAACGGCAATAGCGGCGCGACGTGCGGCCCGGCCGTCGCCGTGGACACGGCCGTGCTGGAGCCCAGCAGCCAGACCCAGGTAGACCTGACCCGCGGACCGGCCGACCGCATCCGCGGCCGCGCACTGCCGCCGCCGCCGCACCAGCTGCAACTCGCGGCCGCCGACCACTCGAGCGGCGGTTCGTCGTCGGTGGACTCGCGCGTGGCCGAAATGGCGTACGCTTACGGCAACCAATCCGAGTACACGGTCGAAGACGTCGCTAGCAAACACGGCGGCAAGGGGCAGACGATCGCCGCCGTCAAGTCGGTGGCGTCTTCAGCGGCGGCGGCCGCCACCATCATCAACAACAACAACAACAACAACAACGACGACGAGTATCTGGTCGAACAGCGGTTGTTAGGAAATGGCGTGGACGGCGGCGGCTACGCCGGAGGTGACGGTGATTCGCCCGAATCGCGGCCGTCCAATGCCGATCGTTGCTCACCGGAAGAACGCGGCGTGGCGACTACCGCCGCCGCCACTGCCGCCGTCTCCCAGTAAAAAAACATCACCACTTGATATGCGCGCGCGCGAGTGTGTGTGAGTCTGTGTGTGTGTGTGTGTGTGTGTGTGTGTGTGTGTGTGTGTGTGTGTTCGTGACTTTAGGTTTACGCCGTTTGACCGTAGGTACTTTTAATCTTTTTTTTCCCAACGTCACTTTCGACCGAGGAGTAGTTTGCGACTGTTTTCTTGCAACCTCTTTCGGGACGATAAACCGGAGCTCGAAACGACATATTTTATTGTCTTTTATTCTCTGTCACGGAGTAAAACGGATAGCATGTTTTTTTGTTTTTCTCGCCTAAAACCAATCGACTTTCATGTAATAATAATAATAATAATAAACAAAAGGGTTCCGCTAATGTTATATTTAACCGGTCGATGAATTTTACGACTAGTCCGTCTTTAAACCGTTCACTCGAAACTGTTGGAAGCCTGACATTGCAATCGTATACAATTGCCAAAACCTGCACTGGTTAATCTCTACACTGCAGTATGCTGCAGGTCAGTCGTCTTTTAACCCGTAACAGATATAATGTCGATTTTTTTTTTTTTTTTTGACGTTGTACGTCAACTCGGTCAATATGTTAACTGTTCGACTACCGGACATAATTGTCTATCACGAGCAATTCGTATATCCACGATGGCTACGGAATCCGAAAATATTGTGAAATGTTATACGTTAACCGTGAAATTAACCGCGTTTATCTGGGTGCTGTCATTTCGATTGCGACAGCGTGCAAAACTAAAGAGTATAATATTATTATTATTGACGTTCGCATGGGGAAGGGGGTATAATATTTACGCCGACCCAATCGATATAATATTACGAGATGGTAAATTGTTATTTTTATTATTTCTCAATTCATTAATATTATAAAACATTAACCGATTTGTAGTGAAAACAAAACTGATGCGGTAAAATAATAAAATCGGAAAATTGCTTTACTGATTGTTATTTCGGCAAAGCACACTATTATTGCGACGTGTCACGCGTGCTCCAAAACGCTCGGAAATGGTATAAAAATCAACATAATATTATTCTCATCGTACATATAACATATATACGCGTATGCCGGATGATTCGCAAAAACGTTGTTTGCGTTTTACAACAATAATAATCGGCAAATGAATAATGGTATACAAGCGCTACATACATGCGACAATAATAAATAATTTACCGTAATCGAAACTGTAATCTATTGAGCCAAATGATTTGCAAGTAGGTATATGTAATTTCAATATATTTTTCCAAAACAAAGGTAGCTTAATAAATCGTCTATAATAATATATTATGTAAACGACCCTACAGCTTTCAAAATAAGCATTTCACAATTGGTAAAAAATGACCAATTATTACCGCGATTTCCCGGCATCGGGGGTTAGTCGTTTCCGTAAAAATTATAAAATGTATATGTACCATTATCCCAAAATATCTGATGTTTATCAGTTATTCAGATGGTTATTTTAGTAACGAAAATACACTAAAATCAACACGAATTATTTAAAATATTTTGCGTCGCGTAAATGATTTTATGATTTAATATTTTAAATTAATAATATCATAATACACGATGTTTATTATGCGGCATAATTCAAACACCGAAATCGAGAACTACGAGTAGTTATTAAACATCATGATATTGCTGCGATGTCGGAATATAATACTTAACAATAATTATTTAATATTATAATATGTTAAAAGCGTTTGTGAAAACCGTAACAAAATGTTCTGAAAAATATATTAACCAGAAAGTATTTTAGCAAAATCAAAAGTTTGTTTCTGAAAGACAAATGTCATAAATTTGTCGTGTTTATTTGAAAAGTAAGTTACACCGTAGTACCGCACTAACGAAAAGTGTAAACTTACTTCCTTTTGATTATTTATTTCCGACGCCTTTTTCATTATGTCTACTATTATTATTTTATGGTTTTATGGTTTCCGTTGTTTTACTTTTGTGACGTGTCTGCGATCCGTAAAAGCAATTTAAGTCAGAAGTATATAAATACTTAATGCGTTGATCGCGAAATTCGTGAGAAGTGGTTCTTAGCGAATTACAAACACCTTCAAGTTCGACGTGTGTATAACTTGTATACAATCATATAGATTAATATGTACCGTTTATCCCAAAACTTAATTTAGTCAGTTGTATTATACGTAATGATATAATAAATATATAAATGTCTTCGTCGAGTGGTTCTAGTTCCTATACAACGTAATACAACTAATAATATGCATAGTATTATTGATAATATGATGATTTCAGAAACTCATTTTTGCATGTATATACAATATACATATGTTAATAGTTTAGTTCGATAGCCATTTATTTATTGATAATATCATATTAATTGTATCTATGTATGTGTATAGTGTATTAGCACTTGGCCAAAAATACGCGTATTGATCTTGTGATTACTGCGTTTAAAATATACTTGTTTCGATCGAAAAACTGTTATATTTAAACTACGGTTACCTATTGATGATGATTCGAATTGTTCGAGATTATAGGAGAATATACCGATTTATTATAATAATACAACATCACAATAAAGAGTTTGAATAAAACTGCAATAGGTTGTTACAGATAAAGTATGAAATCGGACGTTGTATCCACAATGAGCAGGTTGATATTGGGCCCCATCACTGTAATGATAAAAGTAGAAAATGTATACGTTGTCACCTTGTCGAAACATTTTACAGGATAGATAAATCTCGATGGGCGATGTATGTCACCAAATCCGAAGAGAAATGTTTATTAATATCACTATCGTTTTGTTTGTCGTCATCTAATGACTTATGACCAAAGACGTGATCGTAATATTATGATAGTGTGAGGAATGCTATATTTTTTTAAGACCAGTTTTGAAATCTATTTAAAGAAAAAGTACTCATCTACCATAATTTTTCATGATCTACGTAATTATTATGTCAATTACCTAATGATTGCATTAGATTACAAATGTTCTCATTTAAGTTAATTTAATTTTAATAACTCTCAGCAATATATGTATAATCAAAATCGATCTATTAGAAATTAGAATACTATATAATCGGTAGGTAATTGGTATATTGTGTACACTCATTTTTTTAATGTCAAATTTTACATAATTAATACTTCTGAGTTTTGAGATATCTCTTTATGAATTTCGAACCAAAAATGAACTAAAATAGTAAAATTATAATTTCGTCCAATTTGAGTTTTTTATATTTTCGTAATTCTACAATTATTAATTTTCAAATATCTTAAAAATTACACTAAAATCATATTTTATTACTAAAACAAAAATGGTAGATTTTTTTAATTTTTATGCAATTTTGGGTGATTAAAATAAATTTTAAATTTAGAGCTTTTTAAATTTTAAAGTCTAGGACGTTTAATATAATGTTTATTACATTATTCTAACTGTATTCAAATAATCTCAAAAATATTTAAATCTAATAAAAAATCGATTTTATCTACCAAATCACTTAGATAAAAATGAGGTTTTATTATCTATTCTCGACACTGTATGAAAAGCCCATTCGTTTATAAACTATTAAAGCGGTATGCATCATATCCGGTATAGCGCACATCATCGTTCACCGGGATTTTAGGTAAACCATCATCATATTATTATAATGTTGGCTTATCCAGTCCATAATTTATACCCACGCACAATGCCTGGACAATTGAAATATGTCAGTTGTAACTCATGTTGCCAAAAACTTTCAGCGTTGTTTATTATTCTTCTATTTCAAAGTTTGTCTGTAAACGCACTATATTTTATGTCTTGTATATACGTCTTGCACATACGTGACATAAGATACGCATACTCCTCGCAAGCTACTTTAAAATAAATCGATGTATAGTATATTATTATCTAGATCGGTATATTATATGTCCCTTATTTTTACACCCACATCAATCCACTAATAAATCCACTCGCCAGACGAGACGCGTGGAACAACGCGTGACCTGACGTATCCCATTGTACACACATGACGGGACTGTATTTTTTAGGATATAATACGTCAATGTAATTCACGTATCGTCTACACTCTACACAACGAAATCTACGATATTGGTCGATAATTCTTATATAAATAATACGTGGTTATACTGAGCGTTATACGAAACACAATTTTTTTCCTCGAGCTATGACTATTTTTTATGAGCCTGTAAAACCAAACGAAAACCCAGTAAAATAGTCGTTTTACGTATGTGTCAACTGTGAATATTTTAACGTTTACAATGCTAGACAAAACGCGCAACTCTGTCAGCTGAAGTAGCGATCGCGATTGGATTTCATAAAAAATGACAACACGTACGCATGTGTAGTGTGCTCAATCCGATTGATAAGATGGAAATACATTTATAATATATATATACATATTATTTTATGTATTATTATATTAATTTAAAAAAAAAAAGAAAAACATACACAGGCATATCACAACTTATCGTTATTGAGATCTCTCCGCCCACTTGCCTGATAATGAACAATTATTATAAATTCTATCGTCATTTGATAGAATTTGTAATCATGATAATATATTTGTGGCCACATCAATTCGATTTACTATTTAAAACTAGAGTACCTACATACCATTTTTATGAATAAAATATTATTACTTTTATATATTGTGTAGTTTAAATTAGTATTGTTTATGTATAAGTCACATATATTATAATTATTATTATTCATCATATTATAATGCAATATTGCAATGTGAATACAATAGTATGTAACTCATCGAATAACTAAATTTAATTATGTTTTTAAGATTTGTGAATTTTTTTCATGATATTTTTTATGTACATTGTTTTTAGAATTTTACTAATATCAAAGAAACACGTTTTTACTAAAATATCATAACATGTTTTATGAATATAATATAACATAACAAAGTACCTATACATAGAAATCTACGTTTTGAAAAACCTAGACCCTGCATAAGAATGTAATTTACGATAAATACAATTTGTATTGTTTTTGTAATTTTTTTTTTTGTACTTTTTATTCTTCCAAAAATGTAAATATGAATTTTTCTAGATTTATGTTATACGATGGTCAAGGATAATGGTGTAAAACTATAATTATTAATAATTTCTACAAATTTTTTTTGTATAATTTTCGTTAGTGAAATTAATTTTGTAATTAATGATCGTTCGTGTGACGTCCCGATTTTTGAGTTTTTATATTTTTACCGTCCAATATTAGTTAAGTTTGTTATTTACCAAAGTATCAAATGAAATGGACTGTTGTGAACTGTTCGGATCCCTCCTTGAAATTGTGCGAACCTGATAAGTCGCAATTAATTTTCGATTTATTGTTATTATTATTATTTTAGTTATTTTTTGAGCTGTACTCAAAATTATGTTAAATTTCATCTCAGTCGCGTTGTTGTCGTCCAAGTGTATCCGTCCAGTTGTGTATGTTATTGCAGTATGACTGTTCCATAACATATTTTCGCCCGATATTAATTAAGTGTCGCTGAAAATAAACAGAATACTCTTTGGCATTCGCGTGATCCTTGCTTTGTATCATAATAATTATGCATAGATTTTTAATTTATATTTCTTTAGATCTATGTATTTCAATAAACAAAAAAATTAAAACTGAGTACATGAAATATTTATTATAATATAATTTATCTTACTATGAATTTAATGAATTATACTTGTATACGTGTATTGTCTGCTTACGCATATAATAAGATTAACGAATGAAATCGATAATTATTTTACACAGTAAATTGTGTACTGAATAAATATATTGATATTAAGGCAATCGTTTACTATATTTAAAGTTATGAATATTATTGGTTTTATTTTTTTTCATATTTTAATTATTCTTGATTATTTATACTGAAAAAAAAAAATTTCACAAAAGTACAAAAGTAGGTAGTTATTAATGTCGATAAATCATACTAAATAAAATTCTTTTACAATAATTGTCTACTATTATCTACTTAATTGTTAAGTCGTTATGCCTATATTTTCCAATTATTTTTTTTTAATTTAATAGTTTTTTTTTTACCATACTCTTTATGTATTTAGGTAAAAACCATCGTAATGGAATTAACTATAAAGTTCAAACTACATACTTAGTTGTGTTTATCTAATTATATTATAAACATTATAAATCATGAAATCACACTTTTTTTGTCAAAGTTATATTTTAATATTTATTTTAATTTTTAAATACTATTTCGAATATTTGTATTAATTTAATTACAAAATCTATATAAAACTTATAACTTCTTTTGCATGTTTATAATAATAATTATATAAGTTTTGTAAATAGTGAGATGCAAATTTCCTTTTAACTTTATCCTATTTTAATCTATGAAATGTAAATTGAAATTGTGTAAATGCTTGGAGATCATATAAAAAATAAAAATAAAATAAAACAGAAAATAATTATAATTTTAATTACATTTTCATGTACATTTCGATAAAATTGATTTTGTTGTTTATGTCTCCGTAATAGTTTTTAATTAATTTAAAACACTAAATATAATTTCTAAAAATTGTTTGAAAGAAAATACTCAATTTTTTAAATAGAGATTTTTATTATTAATTCAATGTTTGTTTCGTGTCGAATAATTTATCCATCATTTCTCCACTATGTTTAATAGTTACTTTTTTTAGTAAAAATTTTTATTAACAACAATATTCTTTCTTTGTTCTCTAAATTTTAACAGTAAACCCCAATGGTTACAAGTTGCAAAATATGCTATAATTAATTCAAATTGTTTATCATTTGGAAAACACATATCTATTGGTTGTCGCTTTCGTTTATAAGAACAAACTATGACTCTAACGAAAAAACAACCCATTATTAAGCATAAAAATCGTTTATCTTTTTAAATAACGGTAACCCACAGTTTTCATAATTATTTTTTCTAAATAAACTACTTCATAAAATATCAATATACTATCTTCTTAAAATTTGTATTAAATTCCGTAATATGCATAATATTATTTTAAATTAAATACATGTTTTTTATTCATAGTATGTATAGCTTCAACAACTGAAATTATTAATTTAAAAATTAATATTATTTATTGTAGAGGTTTAAATACAATATAATGTTAAAATTAAGTAATGCAAGTAATAACCTGATTCCCGTATAAAACGTAATTTCTTATTTGCTTTTGAGATAATGTTGCCTATTTTAATTGCTGTATTTCTTTAATTGCTTAAATAATATTTTAGATTATTAAGTGCACTGATTTAATCAGAGCATATATTAATTGTAGGGTTGGCTATATGAACTCCTTTGAGAAGAGCTATTTATTCTGTAGTATGAATATTATTTTGGTTTAATAATTTATAAGATACAAATATATCAGATAGAATATTTATTTTGAGGGAGATGAAAAAATATTTTAATAACTTATTGATGATTGTCACCTATCTATATTTATAAATTACGTTATCAAACTATCAAAGGATAAGGGTAATAAAATATTGTTGAGATTGCTTTCTCATTTACTTCTCTAACAATATTACGACTGTATTGATATTCACGAAAATTTAGCATACTTAAAAGCTCGTTTCATACCTAAAAAACAGATTTATGTATTTATTCTAATGTACTGCATAACAAAGTATTATGATTTAAATTCTTCTAAAATGAAATGAAATATTCTAGTCTTTAAATATTTTTTTAATGAAAATATTATTTTTCTATTGCTGAGATCAATAGGGTAGTAAACTTTTCTTCAAAAGTTTTATTATCATGTTTCTTGATTATACGTGGACAAATTTGCCTTAAGTTCATTTCTTAAAGTCCCTGTGTACAAAATACATCATCTTAAACTTTTTATTTATATTTTTAAGCTACAGCATAGGTAACTAATACATTTAAATGTTATTAATAATATTATTTTTTTTTTTTTGACAAAATATTCAAAGTTTAATCTCAATCTAGTAATTAAATAGTTTAATGATTTACTTAAAAAGATAAAAATTTCTATACTTAGACAGTTACCTTTGAACTTCAGAAGATACGTTTTCATTATCATATTTTATTGTTTTTAGATTAAATTTTTTATTCAAAACAATTTTTTTTACATATTTTTTAATTACCTGAATATATTTAGGTTTTAATAACATTTTATAACAATTTATTTTGTATATATTTATTTATTTTTCAATGATTTTATATTTCCGTGCTTAGACCTGCCAAA